GAAGATTCCGAGGCCTACGGCGAGGGCGGTCAAGATGAATGGTTGCGAGGGTACCTAGAGGGGACTCCGTCCTTAGACAAGGAGCTATACGTGTTTGACCTTTTGCAGCGCACCCGGACCTCGAAATTAAACACATCTGCTCTGCAGGTCCTTCTGAAGGCTTTGCACGAGGCCCTCCCCCCGAAAGTCCGAAACCGTATTGAATTGGACATGGCCGAGAGACGAGTCGACGGCACGGTCCTATACCCTCGTGACACTGGCCCCGTGATCGGGTCGTACGACTGGTTTTCGATGAATAACTCAAGCTTCGACAAAATCATCGAGGCAATCGACACCCGGGCGATACCTCGACTAGACTCGCACAACAAGGAATTCATTATCTGGGTTGTCAATACCGGAGATAGTGGGTTCGATCACTACGTGACCATTGTATTACACTACACGCCGTCTAGGATTTCGGCAGCGCCCCCGGTCTATGACCGTATATCGCACTGGAGCATCATTGACCCTCCGAACCGCCAGCAATCTAAGAGCAGGTTACAGAGAACGAAGAACCGCCTGCGCTTGCTGTTAGGAGCAGACCTCGAGGGTGCCGAGGAGAGGCAGATCTGGATCCCGCCGCCCAATATAAAGGACGAGGAGTTCTCCTCCGGGCTAGTGGCCTACTCAGTGGTGAAGCAGCTGCTGGAGCGCATCGGAATTTTTACTAGTATGGAGAGCCAATACGGCCCTGACGATTTCTTCGCGCCTTTGCGTCCCTGGTTCAACCCTGACGCCCTGCGCGCCGAGGCGTTGGGTCACGCCGCTATGAAAGCGATGGAGAAGATGGAAGGCAAGATGCGCCTGGCGCTGTTCCCCATCCAGGGGTTCAATGATGGCGATCGCTTGGGGCTCTCTCCCGAAAAATTGTTCGACGGACGCCACGACGCCGAGTTTCACATGCTCCCACCAACACAGAGGACGATTCCAGAAGTAGAGTCGGAGTCCGCAAGTGAGTACGACAACAGCACTGAAGATAGCACCGAAAATTTCACCAAAGAGGACTACGACGACTTCTACTACCGGTGCAAGAATAGGGAGCGCTTTGAGGCGGCCGCTGAGGGACGTCGCGCCAATAACGCGGCCTTCGAGGCCTCGAGGTTCGCGCAGCGAGTGCAGCACGAGGTGCTAGAATCTCCCGACGGCCGCATTCCTTCAGCCTACACGCTTCAGAAGCTGTTTGGGCTTGTCCGTCGGGCGACAGAGAAAGACCAGTTGGCGGCCGACCTTGTGGAGAAGATCAGCAGCCGCCGCTACACCTCCGAAGCGAGACACAACCGGGCGATAGCTCAAATTACTGGCTCGGGGTTCTTCATCAACTTCGACAGCGCGGCAGCGATGCGGCGCAGCGAATACACCGAGGCAGACCGGATTTTGCGGCGCGTCTTTACGGCGCGCCAGGGGCGAGGCAACGACGACGACTCGCTGGCCGAGAACCTCCCCGCGCCAACAGGGGAATACAGTGGTCCTTATAGCACCGGTGGTGTTCTAGCTACGGGGCCGGTTCCAGGCCCGGGCAAGACTGTAGATACGGGCAACCCGAAGAAGCGCGAGTACGAGTACGTGTGCACGGGGGCGACAGATGAGACCGGCGAGGAAACATACACCATGCATGTCAAGAAGAAGCAGAGAGTCCTTCTAAAGCCGGCGAAGAAGTCCCAGAAGTCGTTGAAGAGGCGGGTTGAATGGGCGGATTGAGCTTTACTTCATGAAGCAATTGCAACCGCATCTAGAGTCACCGCGAGAGTAACGTCAAAAGAGACGCGACTTACACATGGGCTATTAATGTAGTCCCGCTGCCGCCCGCCTGACATTCCTAGTCGAGTGTCGTGCCGGTGGTGGTGAACGGGCTCGAGGAGCTGGTAGACGTAATCAACGGGAGGCGTTATCGCTGTTTTGATGTTTATTGGGCTTTTTGGGCTTGCCGGAGTTTAAAACCCGTTGATTTTCGTCCGTAGAAATAGTAGACGAATCTTTACCAATACGTCGCATATGATATCGTATATATTGTATAAACCTCAGATCAGCCAACGTGATCACCGGCTTTTGAAAGACTTGCCACCTTGACTTGTATGAAACAAAGTAGAACAGGGAAGTATTCGAAGCTCAGTATCTATTAGAAGTGACTTAAACCTTTTCCAGATATATAACGTGAGCCGACTGATGAATTATTCGTCCTGCAAACTAAGCACTTGTCACAAATAGCGGCGGCTCTCTCCAGTCCCCTATCGCCTTAGTAATTCGTCCTAGAGATCAGTGCCTAGTTCGAAAATGAAGAACATAGGAGGTATTTTTATAAGATATACATGAATTAATGACTGATGCGCAACTGAATGAAGTTATACGCAGCACAATATTCACCTACGTAGAACAACAAGCACATTTTAGTTGCGTATCTAATACAAGACTGTCACACGCCATACACCACACTATAGGACTCCCGACCTCGGAGGGGGCTGAAGCCATACAAGGCCACTAGAAGCCTCATCCCTGGCCTTCCATCTAAGACATATTGAGTTGCACGAAGCCTATTGGTAGAAGACCCGCTCACCTGACGGGTGGGCGTTTCGGGAGGGCAATAGAAAGTCATCCCTTGGAATGAATTGAAATAGGGCAGGAATTCCTGACTAAAAGGAAGGAAAAACCACGGACCTTGAGACCCCTAGAATATTATTAATTGAATACGATATACTGTTCCAAGCCCTCTAATAGTAATCCCTTGTCACAAAGACCTTCTTACCGACAATGGCTCGTGGGTATGCCTAGCGCGGTATCCGGGAAGCCGGACAATTTACATGAGTACCGGAATTAACTAGAGAGAAGAAACTACATACCTAGGTAGCAGACATGCATGTAATGTGGCAACGAAGCAGCATCTCAGTATCCAGTTGATGAAGAAAGACACTTCACCCGTCTTTCTAAAAATCCCCTAACTCTTTCCTCATCGTGATTGTCTCCCACATAGTTCCCCCATCTCATCCATCCCATCTTACTACGTCACTATTCTTCTTTTTACTCCTCCCCGCCAATCTCTCCTCGAGCCGGCCAGCGTTACACACATCAACCCCCCTCAGACTTTCTCACCGATGACCTAGTGTCATCACAAAACAAGCTACATCACTCTTATCAACACCATAAAAGCTTGCGGACCACCGAAACCCTACTTCTGCATAGAGCACTACAACATCATAATGCCTCCAGCAGCCGTGGTGCTAGCCGACCTGGGCGAGCTGTCGAATCTTCCGCTGGAACTCCTGTTCATGATTATTGGATACCTCGACCTCCCTAGCGCTGCCAAGTTCACTGGAGTCAATCGACAGGCGCAGTTTATCCTCTGGTCTGATCGAGACTATCTGCTACTTCGAGGGTCCCTGTTTCGGTCATTGGGGCTTCCATCGTGGCTTAAATTTATTGCTCGAGTCCCTCTTAAAGACATCGACTATCACACACTGGCGGATAACATACGGAATATGACCTGTGCCCGGTGCAAGTGTAGCGATGAAGACAACTATGAACTACATCCCCTCACAGGGCGTATGCTATGTTTTCGGTGCTTATGGTGCTTGACTCCTGTCTCCAATCCCCGTGCTGAGATTACGGTGTACCGTGATATGGTCGAGAACAGAATACCCTATCGCCTGCCCGAGGGCCGGTTAATACGTATGTGTAACATCCACACCAAGCAACTCCTACTACACTTCATTTCGGTAGAATAGCTACTGACATTTACAAAAATCAGTCGTTGAGCCGTGGGATGTTACGCAAGAAGAATGAGGGCACCGCTGCCGCCTATGGCCACGTCTGGGATATTTGGCGGCAAAGCTTTCATTTCCTTGGCTACTCTCGAGCACTGGTCAATAGTGAGGGGCTCTCCGAAATCCATGAAATCGTTGAAGGTCGAGCTACTCGTGTGGGACCGTAATAGATATCTTCGCTAGTTGTCTCGAGGGTGGTTTGAACAGTGCCGAGATACGGGGTGCCCCTAGTCAGAACGAACATGTTGAAATGTAAGGTGCTCATAGAAGAGGTAGTATTTATTCGCGTCACAGCAAGCGGGCGGGCCGCCGCCAACTTCTCAATATCGTCGGTAGAGATAGGAGCACCAGTGCAAGATAAATGAGTCTTATTTCTCGCAGCATATATATAACTTGCGGACCCGTCCGAATAATCATGTAAACTTTGTTACTTAAACACGAAATAACAACACGGGTAACAACAAAAATAACGCTATCAATAATGACCTGAAACCGTCAAATTATACATAAGTCATAATAAGATCGAAATGCTGAAAATGATGTTCGCGGTTCGAGGGAAAAGCAAGTGGGACAAATTTGTCTGCATGATGCCTGGTTGAGCAGTAAACTTCCATGGTTCACTCAAAATACGACAGAAGAATCAAACAACTTTGAAGATAGGGTCAAATTGCTTATTAGCTCCATCTCGTAACTTCTTTAGATGATACGTCGGTGCTCAAGGCGGAGTGGCACACTTGCTGTTCTAGCTAAAAATAAGTCTCCCTGCTTATCATTTAAATATCAGGGCGGCCTCTGTCGTCAGGAAGTCATTAGAGTACAGCTTGATTCCAGCTCGACTTTACCTTGTCTAGCAGACTGAAAGCAGTGCTACTTATCATTTATTTCTTTTCAATTATTTTCCCAGTAGCCATATCAACGGTTTAGTGCTTTCGACTTTTTGCACTGACCACCACCACAACCGGACCAAGATACCTACTTATGTTGTCGCCTACCTGTCCTAGTATAAGACTAAGTTCCACGGCCTCCAACAAAACGAGGTTAACACATCTCATCTCAACGAGTGACGGGAACATATAGGTGGCTCATGGCTTCTCGGGGCTTGTGGTTTGTGGTATAGTACTCGCTTAGCATGGGAGTGGTCCGCGAGTGCATGGTTGGAGGCTCAACTCCTCTCCTATCGACACCACATCAACAACAGCATCGCATGGGAGTTTGGCCGAGTGGTTAAGGCGCCGTGTTTAGGTATTTGTTAGATTCGTCTAGTCATACCGTAAACCCGCGGTGGGAAACCGCGCAGGTTCGAATCCTGCAGCTCTCAAAGAAATATCTTTTTGCTCCCCTCGGAGAGGGGTATGGAGCGGCCGGAGCGGTATAATTTTTGCGGACCTTCTAATCCCAGGAGTGGGGTAGGGAGAGTTAGCTGCTCGGCTATTGACGGTGAATTGTGGCATTGGTCCGTATCATATATAGAATGTTGTCTTATTGCCTGACAGTAATTTTTGGCAAGGGCTCATTAATGATAGGACGCATAAAGAAGCATATAGACGTATGTATAGAAGAGGACCTGTCAGACACCGTGAGTGCTCTACTTATTACACTGTTCCGCCTCTCCAACTTGTTACAAGAAGAGTAAAACCTTATCTTATGGTCCAACTTCTCCACATGACGGGAGCCCAAATCCCGGGGAAGCGATCCATCATGATTTATAGAGTTCGGATATGCTGTAACATTGGCCGCAGGGGCGTCTGAATAGACTGGACTATACTGTCACAGTCTTGGAACAAAGAGACTGTTTTGTATATAGTAATAGTACGTAGGAGGGTATTTTGGAAACCCTCGCACAACAACGTATACTATTACCTACCCATATGTATAGGTCTTGTGACAGATACTCCTCCAGCATTTTTAGTCCGCGGTCAAGTAAGTCCTGCTAGATAATATATATTGTCGATGCCTTATATTCAGGTATTGCGAGGTGAAGATCACTCGAGGTTAAAAAACTAGTAGCCTCACTGAAATCAGGATGAATGGAATCTTTTACCGTTATAGGGGAGAGCTATTTTGACTTTGTTTACATGAGTAGATGTGGCTCCAGGAGAGCGACCCTAGGGTGCTTGCATCGGTGCCGCATAATACCCCTTGAACCCCAGTTGTTTGACGGAACCTTATGTCGAATTTCCCGGCCTCTAGGATTTGACGTCCCAAAGTCCGGATGGCGGCGATGATGATATTCAATAATTGGCCGATTGTACCAACCACCCGATCGGCTCCTAAGGTGATCTGAACGACTGCCAAGTCCAATCCTTCAGGGACGCTCAATGCATCAATGAAGTCTAATAACTTCTATCAAGTAATTGACAATCTATGGTTAGTAAGACCAAGCGAACTTCCTGCCTTCTTTTGGCCTCTGGGGTAATGGAAACTTCAATCGGGCAGAACGGAAAACCTACGAAAGCGAAGTTCTCGTACTTTTGATCTGTCAACATGAAACGTGTCGTGCAATCCGGGCGAGGAATTTGTGAACCTCTCGAGCAAGTATCTCGTATTTGAGTCTGCGGCTCAGTAAGAACACCTGCAGCTAGAACCCGCGAGGTCAAGGGAGCGGAACGGGCGGCCATGTTTACATACTGGTCTTCCTTTCCGTAAGGCAATCGACATATGCTAAGACGGGACTACAAGCCTATATATAGAGCATCAGTCGTTCTTGGTTGAGCCAGTTCCTCACCTCTGTCTTCAAGGCTTCCGTGCTAGTTATTTATACTCGATAATATCTAGAGAATCACTATAACCCATACAGAAATTCCAATCGCTTATTGTCAAGATGGTTTCATACAACTCTCGTTCTGAAAATCCTATTAAAGGGCCTTCCTCTGGGCCCATCGACCCCTATGTACTCTTCGAGGCCCTAACGGGCAGGAAGCTGGAACTGCCTTCCCGGCCGGCTCCCGAGGGCTACGATGATCTAAGCGACATCCGAACGTGTCGCTCGAGAAAGCAGGATGAGCCTAACCCGGACCCGAGACCTGATGATGTCTTTGTTGGCTGCATCAACCCTTTTGCTCTCGCGGAGAACATGATCGGGCATAAGATTGATCGTCAATCCATCACCGCGATCCGAATCATCCAGGACACTCTCCAGACCGACTATGAGGAGCTCTTCGATATGAAGCACCACTCGGTCCTCTACGCCGGCCTTAAGCTGAACAAGGAGGAGCGCAAGGCTGACGAGCTTGAGGAGGGGGAAACCAAGATCTTGAAGGAGAAGGAGTACGTATTCTCGAATTTCCCTTGTTCGTCGTTCCAGCAAGCGCTTCCCCCCCTCTGCTCCTGTTACCAAGTTGTCTGATTACTATGATCACCAAGTTTCTAACGTGTGAATTCTCGTAGTCTGGTTACCCCGGACCTCAGTCGTCTAGACAGACTCGGTGACCTCGAGGATATCGGGATGAAGGAACTGGGCAACGTCCGCATCAAGCGAGCCGGCATCCTGAACAACAAGCTCCACCTCGTCTTGCATGCCGACGACATCGCCCGAACGGTGGGCAACCGCGAGGTGACGCAGACGATCAACGACATCTGCCTGCCCTTCCGACGGGACAGCGGGCGCAAGGACTCGTTCACGCCGCCCAACAGCTCCTGGCGCGACGCGCGCGAGGTGCTCATGATGCGCAACATGCGCCGGGGCATGATCTCGGACTACAACACGCTGTTCGACTACGGCGGGTCCCGCGAGTACCAGGCGGTGCGCAAGTTCGACGACCCGATCCAGGGCGCGACGGCGAACAGCTGGTTCGTGGCGGCGCTGTTCTCGGTGTACTGGGCGGACCCGGCCCTCATCAACCGCAACACGAACATGCAGGTGCGCATGCACCACCGGTCCGGCGCCGGCGCCGGCGACGACGAGGGCCGCCAGCAGCACCGCTTCAGCGCCAAGTTCTACGACCAGGGCGGCCGCAACAACAGCAAGACGCAGGTCGTCGAGGTCGACTACCGCGTGCCGGTCAACAACTCGAGCGAGGACTTCGTGTACTGCCGCTCGAGCGATGGCATGGCGCTCTGGCCGTCACTGTACGAGAAGGCCTTCGCGAAGTGGATCGGCAACGGCAACAACGACAACCCCAACCGCCACAAGAGCATTGGTCCTGCCAGTGGCGGCAGCAGCAGCAGCCAGCACGTCGACATCACGCAGACGCACAACGGCGACCCGGTCAAGGCGATGGCGCAGCTCAACGGGCGCGAGCCGCAGTACTACTTCACGGACAAGCACGACGCGGCGGACCTGATCGGGCTGGTGCGCGGCTGCAGCGTCAACCACCGCACCATCTGCCCGATGGTGGCGTGGACGCACGCCTCGGACAGCGGGACGTACCGCGGCTGCAACCTCGTCGCCAACCACGCGTACTCGGTGCTCGGCTGGTCGTCGGTCGGCCAGGGCGACAAGCAGTACGTCATCGTCCGCAACCCCTGGGGCGTCACCGAGCCCCACGGCCTGACCAGCTACCCCGGCATCCTGACCCGCGTCGAGCCCGAGTACTGGCGCCCCGCGTCCCTCCTCGACCGCGAGGGCGTCCTCGCTGTCGAGGTCGGCGCCTTTAAGGAGTACTTTGCTTGCATGGGTGTCACTAAATAGGCAAATGCTGCTATTTTGAAGCTAAGGGTAGTTAGTTAGTAAGTAGATTTTGCTTGTGAGTGTGGAGGAGTGGTATCGACCGTCCGGAAAGTAGGACAAGTCTCGGAGATGTAAGTCGTCGCTCTCTCACACTCGCGGCACCGATTAGTTACCCTATGCCAGAAAAGAAGACTGCGTGCCTTTTTTTATTTCATTACTGTGTATTGAGTAGATAGCTAGTATGGAGAGTACATATAGGCTGCGTACGACTTCCGATGTGCCAAGCAAGTGTGGATAGGATAGGCCCTTTGGTCGGGGGCTCCTCGCTTCAGCACAGAACTGTCGGAAATTCAATTGATATATATATATATTTATGTCTCATTTTGTCGCCATTTCTGGTTTATTAACATTAGTCCCTAAAGTTTCTTTCTTTCAAATCGCCACGGTTTGTTCTGGTGAAGTTGAGCCCCCCAGGCAATCTCGGCAAAAAGGAGGCCAAAAAATAGAAACCATTGGTCCCAGTGAGGCTTGAACTCACGACTTTCGCATTACAAATCTTACGATGGTAATCATAATATTAGTACGACACTCTAACCAACTGAGTTATGGGACCAGTGATGATAATCGGCGTTGGTATCCTAATACAAGAATCGTGACGGTGATGCTTGTTTGCTGTGAATGCGGGTTCAAGGATAGAAGTACCTGTTGCCAATGGAAACAACTGAAGTGAGACAAGAGGGTTGGTGCGCTCATGTTTCTTTTTCGTTGGACACCGTGCGAGCCGATTAGGGAATTTCCGCTTTCTAATTTATTCACTATACAGGGGTCTGCAAAACAGGTGAGTCAGAAATGCATCCCTTTCCACGCTACCTCGATCTTCGAAGTCGATTCTCTCCTGACTGAAACGAGGAAGGATATAGAGTTCCGGATTGCCGCATCTCTAACCGAGCCACCTCTTATGGCCTTGAGCCGGCATAAATAAAATGTCTACATTACGTAGGATCACACGTGCGGCGGTAGGATTCCATGTTCCTAAACCCCGGGTAGTCATGCCCAGGATCGCCTTCCCCAGCAATCGCCGCCAACCCATCTCCCAAATTGGAGGGGACTGGAGGTGTGAAGCTGCTGATGCTGAGGCCATCATTCTATACGGACCTGGCGGTTTTCATCCTGTCAGGCTTGGTGATCAGCTGAAAGATGGAAGATACAAGATCCTCCATAAACTTGGAAGTAGTAACTTTTCTACCATCTGGGCTGCTCGCGATCGGATGTGAGTATGAAACTAAGATGCTTTTACTCATAGCCCAATATCCATGCTTTTAATGACGAGATTTCAGGGAGCAACGATACGTCACCGTCAAAATTTACCAGTCGAAATGGGAAGAGACTAATGAGGTTCCGGTCTTCCGATCGATTTCTTCCCTTCCCAAGAACACCCATTCCGGACAACAACATATAGTTCAATTTTTCGACTCGTTTGACGTTGAAGGGCCTAGCGGGCGTCACCAGTGTCTTGTTTTAGAACTGTTAGGGCCTTGTATACTGGACCTTTTCGGCGCAGCGTCCACGGAGGTCAGACTTCCTGCCCTACAGGCAAAGTCTATTGCGCACCAAATCTTACTCGCTACCGATCTTCTCGCTTCCCAAGGGATCGCACACGGAGGTATGTCGTCGACAGTGAGGGACTCCGTAGCTAACTAACACCAAGG